TTTGGCCACAGGAAAGTGTTGTTTTTGACAAAAAGAGACTCTGGAAAGGTAGGAACGTAATTGTATAAAGACATAGTGGCAATTCTGTTGGTGACATATGAGCCAGAATGAATCCAAATTAGCACCTTTCACTGGAGCTGGAGTCCTGCAAAATTGTAAGTCTCAATACTTACACATAACCTGCAGGGCTATTGGCCCTATGAAGAGCACCAAGCACACCGTCAGCAAAGTCAGGGCAACTGGACCCCACACGGGGGAAGGAGCAGGGAGTCCTGAGAGAATCCAATAATTGTTTCAGTGATGAAAATAAGTGAAGTGACATCCCCTTTTTAATTGCTCTTTTAAAATATATTGTTTTTCTTCACTCATACATGTTTTTAACAACTGAATATTCTGAGATTCTCGGGTCAAGCATAAAGCGAACAGAGGAGAAAGAAGAGATCTTGAGAAGCAGAAATAGCTGATTCATAAGAGTAGATTTTTATGTGTTGAGATATTTTTTATGATGAACCCAGCTCTGTACTGTCTGAGAATAATAGTAGTAGATAAACCTAATATTTAGGAACATTATTGATAGAACAGTGATCCTTATTAGGATATTTCAGGTTGTAAGGAGACTATAAACTTGGGGTGAGGTTAAAATCCTTCTCCTGAGCCCCCAAATGGTGTCAAGGTAAAATTTTCCATAGCCCTATATTTTCAAAAGTGATTTAGGCACTTAGAAAAATGTTAGCGTAATGAGTCCAATGGGAATTCACCCACTCAGCAGGAGATACACATAGCTCCCAGAGTCTGCAGCATTCACAGATTCAGAAAGCAAAGTTTGAGGTTTTGTTTATTTTTTTTAAATAAACAGCTACAGTATGTTGAATATTGTTAATAAATGTGGAACAGTTACATAACTACACACAGATCTCCTGCCCCATCCCTCGGGATGATGGCAGCAACCACCAGTACATGGTGCAACATGAACAGATGGGTTTCAGAAGAGAACGAGTAAAGCAGGGGTATGAAACCTATGGCACGCATGCCAAAGGCAGCACGCGAGCTGATTTTCAGTGGCACACACGCTGCCTGGGTCCTGGCCACCGGTCCGGGGGGCTCTGCATTCTAATTTAATTTTAAATGAAGCTTCTTAAACATTTTTAAAACCTTATTTCCTTACATACAAAAATAGTTTAGTTATATAGTATAGACTTATAGAAAGAGACCTTCTAAAAATGTTAAAATGTATTACTGGCACGCGAAACCTTAAATTAGAGTGAATAAATGAAGACTCGGCACAGCACTTCTGAAAGGTTGCCGACCCTTTTATACATGGAGTTATCTAGATCCTTATAACATGCCCTTCATCATCCTTGCAAATGATTAACTCAATTTCTATTCAGCCTTGTTCATTTTCCTTTCACCTGCTTGTTGTGAACCTCTGTGCAAGTACAACTTTGTTTGTGTAAATGTTCAGGCAAAGCAAAGTTTGGGCCCTTGGTTAAAATCTCTTTAATAAAGAAACAAAATGTGTTTAGAGCTAGATGATGTCATTTAGTGAGAGGCCTGTGCTGGGATCAGTGGGATGGAGGTGACCATCCCAGGGGGAGTGCTACTCAGTGTGATCAGGAATAGTCAGCATGGATTCACTCAGGGCAAGTCATGTCTGACTAACCTAATTGCCTCCTATGACGAGATAACTGGCTCTGTGGATGAGGGGAAAGCAGTGAATGTGTTATTCTTTGACTTTAGCAAAGCTTTTGATACGGTCTCTCACAGTATTCTTGCCAGCAAGTTAAAGACTTATAGTCCATTCATCCAGCCCATAAGGTGGATAGAAAGCTGGCTAGATCATCAGGCTCAATGGGTAGTGATCAATGGCTCCATGTCTAGTTGGCAGCCGGTATCAAGCAGAGTGCCCCAAGGGTTGGTCCTGGGGCTGGTTTTGTTCAATATCTTCATTAATGATCTAGAGGATGGCGTGGATTGCACCGACAGCAAGTTTGCAGATGACACTAAACTGGGAGGAGTGGTAGATGTGCTGGAGGGTAGGGATAGGATACAGAGGGACCTAGACAAATTGGAGGATTGGGCCAAAAGAAATCTGATGAGGTTCAACAAGGACAAGTGCAGAGTCCTGCACTTAGGATGGAAGAATCCCATGCACTGCTACAGACTAGGGACCGAGTGGCTAGGCAGCAGTTCTGCAGAAAAGGACCTAGGGGTTACAGTGGATGAGAAGCTGGATATGAGTCAATAGTGTGCTCTTGTTGCCAAGAAGGCTAACGGCATTTTGAGCTGTATAAGTAGGAGCATTGCCAGCAGATCGAGGGATGTGATCATTCCCCTCTATCGGGCATCTGGAGTACTGTGTCCAGCTAGGGGGCTGGAGCACATGATTTATGAGGAGAGGCTGAGGGAACTGGGATTATTTAGCCTGCAGAAGAGAAGAATGGGGGGGGAGGGATTTGATAGCTGCTTTCAACTACCTGAAAGGGGGTTCCAAAGAGGATGGATCTAGACTGTTCTCAGTGGTACCAGGTGACAGAACAAGGAATAATGGTCTCAAATTGCAGTGGGGGAGATTTAGCTTGGATGTTAGGAAAAACTTTTTCACTAGGAGGGTGGTGAAGCACTGGAATGGGTTACCTAGGGAGTGGTGGAATCTCCTTCCTTAGAGGTTTTTAAGGTCAGGCTTAGCAAAGCCCTGGCTGGGATGATTTAGTTGGGTATTGGTCCTGCTTTGAGCAGGGGGTTGGACTAGATGACTTCCTGAGGTCCCTTCCAACCCTCTTATTCTATGATTCTATGGGAGGGGAGTTGAGTTCCAGACTCAAAAATCCTACACTGAAGTTACCCTTTTACCAGCTGACTCATGCATAAACATCTGGGAACTGTAAACTCAAGTGTCCCAATCAAGTGCTCGTAAAAAACACAAGGAATATAATTGATGTGTCTTTCAGACCAATAGCAACACTTTGAATTGAGCCTGGAAGCCCATTCTGTTTCTGGAACACAGAGGGATGTGCATGTTCCATTCCAGAAAGACTATTATGTGAGTGTGAAGGTAAACTCTTCCGCACCTGAAATTTCTGAGTGGCCTTCTGGAGTAGCCCCAAGCACAGTTCATTGCAGAAATCCAATTATTATTCTCTTCTGCTGCATAACTGTAAATGTTATGATTCCCCTAAAGCTACACAATACATTTAAAAAGCAAGCTACAGTATTCTGAGGCCAGAAAGGACCTCTGTGATCGTCTAGTCTGACCTCCTGTATAACACAGGCTATAGAAGTCCCTGAAGTAATTCCACAACTGATTTGTAGTACTTGGACATATTTGAACTAAAGCAGATCTTTTAGGAAAAACATCCAGTCTTGATTTTAAAAGTGCCAGTGATGGAGAATCCACCACAACACTTGATAAGTTGTTACAATGGTTAAGTACCCTCACTAATAAAAAAAAATGTTATATTTCCAATCTGAATTTACCTAGCTTCAACTTCCAGCCAGTGGATCTTGTT